CTCGACACAAAGTAGTTTCAAAATCCCATCCTCTCGGTGCTGATTCATCACTCGCGTCTTCGTATTCATAAACATATTAGGTACTCAGACCTTTTTAGGTCCGGTTCCAGATTTGATTTCTTGTAATAGCAGAAGCGAAGAAAGCGAGATACGGTTTTTTTTTTGAAAAAAAAAAAAAGAGGATGGTCGGCAGTGGTTCTAGGGTTTCGATTCCGGCGAGTACTCGGAAATTGATTCAGAACATCAAGGAGATCACTGCTGGGAACTACAGCGAGGATGAGATTCACGCAATGCTTCATGAATGTAACATGGATCCTGACGAGACCGCTCAACGCTTACTTCTTCAGGGTATGATCTTATCATTCTCTTCACTTGTTTGATTCCTGATTTCGCCTCTTTTACTGGATCCACGATGTGATTGTAGGTTTTCGATTTGGGGTTCCCTTAACTTAGGTTTTAGCATTTGATTTTTTTTGTCTCCTTTGATTTATTCAGCTTTTATCTGAATCTTCTGGGTTTGATATCATCGGTTTCGTCGCCTGTTTCATATATGCGGAAGTAAAAGCTTGTCTCTAGTCGTCTATGTGTTATAAACCATTTTTCCCCAAAAAGTTTAGAATATGCGCGAATCAATTACTTACTTCCACTAGTGATGTGTGAAACAAAGGGTATAAGCTTCTAGGTGAAAAGTTTTCTATGTGGTTTGTCTAGAGGGAATACTTTTGCTATGTATGATTCCAAAACAATGTTTGGTGCGTTCTGCGTTCATCATCTTAACTAGGATTCTTCTCTAAACCCATGTCGCTGGATCTATCAGTGGTACTTTGGTTATGTTTATCCTGTTCTGGTGACAATGATTCTCTTGAGGTTTGGTTGCTAAGGCAAATTTTCTTGGCATTTATGGTATTTCATCAGGCATGCTTCATATAGCCAAGGCTTGTGTATAAATGTAGACGGTTTCTAGGCTAGGTTTTTAAGTTTTGTTTTGTTGAGACTATGAGTTTTTTCTATACTATGCTCTGAAGTAACTCAAAAACTGTTCATGACTGCAGATCCATTCCATGAGGTTAAAAAAAAGCGTGATAAGAGAAAAGAGGTATGGAGTGTTTGCAGTTCTTTTGGTCTATTTAATGGGTCTCTGTGTAAAGTGTCTAAAATGCACTACACAGCATATATTGTGACATGATGATTAAAGATGTTATTAAATGCTACAGAACCTTAGCAACAAGGATTTTGTTGAATCACAATGGAGATCTAGTGGCTCAGGCCGTGGTAGCAGGGGTGGTCGGGGGAATTTCTCCTCTCGTCATTCATCTCATGGTAAACAACAATCATATGAACTCAGTTTTTTATGTTGTTGCATCTCTTAATATTTAGCATTAGTTTTCCCTGAAAGATGGTTATTTGCGCTTACAATTCTGTTTGTTATATTAACTCAAATATTGATCCTTGCCTGCTTTTCCTCCGAGGACATACTACTTGTGTTTCTGACTGGTTTTAGTATGTGATGTAGCAAGGTCCTTAGTGGAAGTCCATAACTCGTTGCTTTCGAATTTTTCAGTAGTTGATGAACTGTCTGTTGTGAATGTTTACTTCTAATCAGATGGTGCTGGTGCAAAGAATTCTTTCAGAAAAGAAAATGGTCCAAAGCAGGCCACTGATCCATCAACTTCAACCTCTCAAGATATAAAAACTAAAGAGATTACTTTGGTGCCAAGGTGATTATTTTCCTTGATTCTATATGACATACAGGTGGATGTATTACACCCTTAGCGAAAGTAGTGAAAGCGTGGAATTACCGTATAGATTAACTTTCTCATGATCTTTGTTATCTTTCTTTTTTGTATTGTTGACAGCCCCTCAGCTGTGATGGATAAGAGTTCTGTTGGTTTGACATCCGGAAGCTCTGATGTTCATCATCCTTCCAACCTACCAGCTAGCTCAGGTCAACTTAAAGCTAGTGGGTCTTCAGTCCCCTCGAACAACCTTGATGGTGCGCCATCTTCTGTTGAATTAAGCAAAAAGCGTGTAGCAGTTGGCTCTAGGAATGTGCATACTGAGCAGCAGTCGGCTGATTCTCTGCCAGTCCCTCGTCCATCCTCTTCTGAAGTTCGATTCACAACTTCAAATCCTAAACCAGTGAGCGAACAATCAGCACATGAACAACACATTGGAGAAAGCAAGTTCCATGCCAGATCCCGTGGGGTTGGGAAGACTGCCATGAATGAGACTTATGTTCCGAGGCCTGCTTCATCTCACAGCAACAGCACGGGTAGTCGGCCTTCTTCTAACTACAGCAATCGGTCACATCAGACTGTTGGTGCTCAAAGAGGTAACAGTGATACATTTTCTTTTGTAGTACTGGATTTCTCCTATCTGTGAATATAAAATTTAGACTATACTCCAGTTGATTTAATGCGGATACAAATAAGAAACATTGGGCGTTTCTTTGAAAGGAGGCACTTTGTATATATATTAATTTGCATGACTGTAATCTTCTGACATCTTCATGTGAATGATGCTGGTTTCTAGGTACTGGTTCCACTAAGGAATGGAAACCGAAGCCAGTGAACCATAACACTACCCAAGGTTCTTGTGCATCATCTACTACTGAAGCTCTTGGAGTTCCTACTGAAGCCGGTGACAAATCTGTTGAAGATGTTATCCCTTCAGCAGAGGCCACATCTAGATTGCAGAGGCAGCTTGAAGACTTGCAGATTCAACGCCAGCATGTTATTATTCCAAACCATATCCTTGTTCCTGAGGCTCAACGAACCAAGTTAAGCTTTGGAAGCTTTGATGCTGGCTTTTCTATAACATCAAGCTCAGTAGCTTTTCCGGAGAATGAAAAGAGATCTGCACCTCTCTCTCAGAATTCGCAGGAGGTTGAAGAAAGTTTTGAGGAGGAGGAATTTAGGTATCTACTTGTCTCTTCTTTGTCAATTTTTGTTGATGTTGTTGAGCAACTAAACACTCTCACTCTCAGTTTAGAGTTTAAGCTTGTAAACAAATTGTTGATAACAGATTACTGAGGGAAATAGGTATAAGAATTTTGCTAGTGTAGTTCGCTGGATTTGCTTAGTAGCGTAGCTGAAACTTCCAAAGCACTATGGTGTACTTTACGTCTAGGTTTAACATAGCATATATCTATTTTTCATGCTGTAGACTGCCAGTTGATCTAATAGTGTCAATGGCTAAGTGGGTTTTGTTTCTAGTAACAACTCTTAGCCCTGCTTCACCCTTAAGTTCAAAACAGAAAGTAACAATTGTCATATTAGCAGTGCCTAAAGTGATTTTTTTCTTACGAATTCAGTCACCCGACTACCCATTCGACTGAAAAAGAAGAGGACAATACTGTGTACTCCGAGTCGCCTTCACAAGTTCCAGATGATATGGTTGGTGAAGGTATTATTGCAACAAATGCAGGTCAAGATTATGATGTCTCCAAGCAAGAGAATATGTTGGAGTCCGAAAGCAATCGAAACTCTTTTGATCATGTTCCAAGTCATATTATCGGGCTTGTTCCTCCAGCTCCTGGGAGCCAGATTCCACAATTTGAGAATGCTGACCCTCAAGCACGTGATACCCTTCATATTCCCAATTTTATGGTATGTCTTCAAAATCCTAATTTACTTGTTAGGTTGTCAAATTAATCCATTAATTATTCCTAGCTTTTACTCTCCACTGATCAGAAACATTTTGGTCATTAAATAGTTTATAGGCATTCTTGTCTCTATTTGTCTTCTAAATGAACTATACTTTTGTTGTTTGAAGGTTCAACAACCATTTGATACAGCGAGTTACTATGCTCAATTCTACCGCTCAGGCCCTGACAGTGATGGCCGTGTTTCTCCCTTTGTTTCCCCAGGGGTTGCGTCCAAATATAATGGAAATGTTACTGTATTGCCGCCGCATTCATCTCAAACCATGCAAGAGGTTAGTGCAGTTTTTTGGGGTTAACCTAGTAATTAATTGTATAATCCACACCTTTGCGATTTTGATATAATTTAAGATGGTTCTGAGACTTTTTCGTTCATCATCACTTTCATTCTCCCAACAGTAGCAGCATGAATATTCAAATTCGTCATGTCAGTCACTTGGATTTAGGTCTTAATTTTTGTTCTTGATAAAACTGAAGTTTATATATAGATATATGTTTTTTTTTTTTTTTAAAGTTCAGGTGCATTATAACACGTTTGAAAGAATCAAAGATTACAAACATATATTATTGCTTTCTGTGTCTTAAATGCTTTAAAATGTTGATTTTCAGGGTGGAAACAACTTGGTTCTATCTACAGCTAGTCCAACTCCACTGGTAACTCAAGCTGCTGGGCTGATGCAGAGCTCTGTACCTGTCACGCAACAGCCTGTTCCTGTTTTCCGACCCCCGGGATTACATATGTCGCATTATCCACCAAATTACATGCCATACGGACACTACTTCTCTCCAATCTATTTACCTCCCCCGACAATGCACCAGTTCTTAAGCAATGGTGGATTTGCTCAGCAACCTCAGGCAAGTGGTGTATATCCTGCACCCCCACCCCCTGGAGCTGCTACAGGAGGCAAATACACACTCCCTCATTACAAGCCCGGTACTAATGCAGGAAACATGACTCATGTTGGTATGCCTGGTGGTTACGGACCAACATATGGTTCCTTCCCAGCAGGATATAATCCCACCTCTGCTGCTTCAGCCGGGAATTCAACTTCCAATGAGGATCTCAACACGTTGCAGTTGAAGGTAAACAACGGCTACAGCACAACAGGGCAACAGGTATTAATTATGCCCTTTCCCTCCCCAAACCAACTCGGTTGAAAGAATTGCTTAATGAGTTATACACTTGGGTCTCTGCAGAGTGAAGCATTACCTGTATGGATTACTGGACCAGGACGAGAAGTGCCAAGCTCTTTCTACGGTTTACAGCACCACGGGCAACACGTGACTTATGCTCCAGCACAAGCTGGTCACGTCACGTTCCCAGGTATGTATCACCCGGGACAAGCGGTAACAGCAGCGGGAGTTCATCATCCGCTCTTACAACAGTCTCAAGGTGGTGTTGCTGGAGCAGAAATGGTTGCACCATCGCCTAACGTTTTCCAACAGCCTCAGCAAACACAGATGAACTGGCCAAGTAATTACTGAAACTTGACATCAACTAAAGAAAAAGGGAAAAAGAAGATTTTGAGGATTCAACAAGTTTCAAATTCCAGAGAAATCAGGAAAGATATGGTGCGGTTTTTTGGTGACTTGCGTGTATGTGTGTGGCAACTAACAAATTACCGAAGAAATGGAGCTATCAAGTTGAAGGCTTTAAGCATGGAGGGATTGACAGAGAATGATCATTCATAAAAGGGCTTTAGGGGAAAAGGTACTTTATGAATCCAGTGTTTTTGGTGTTTCTATATCTTTTTCGTTTTAGCAAATTATTTTTGCTTTCTTAGCTTTTTAAGAGGTCTTTTCTTTTTTTAGCTCTCTTTTTTTCAAGTTTCTGAGCTAAGCCAAAGAACTTTGCTGCATGAGTCTGTATCTGAAGACTCTTCTTCCTTCGTTCATTTCTTAGCCTTTGGTCAATGTTTTCAAGTCCGGGCCAGCAATCGAATTGGGACAAATTACCTGAATTTTATATTTTGATTCAAAATTATAAAATTTGAAAGTTAATGAATGTATTGTCTACGTACATGATTATGAGCTTGTGGCCTACAAATCTTTTTAAGAAAATTCAATTATAAATGTAAGCTGTAGAATAGTAATCTTGTAATTTCAATATGCGTCGAGTATTAGAAAGGACTATCATAACCATTCAATAAATTGGATAAAAATTACACTTCAGTCAGTAAGTAGACTAGTAGTTACACAAAGAGACTTCGAGATTCTGGATACTGTCTTTAATTTACATGAATACCGAGCGCAAAAGAGAGAACATTTATGAGTATACATACAAACAGAAAGGCATATACAATCATATTGTTTAATTACTCTAAATCTCCCTGCTTTTTTAACTACCAAGAGAAGAACAAAATTCATGGAACCCTGACCAGTAACACCT